GCAATATCTATCTTTTATGGCCCCCCAACGAATCCATATGTATTGAGATGAATACATTGTAAAATCTCAGTTCATGTCAGTTGGTCTAAATCAGTTATAAATATATTTGGACACAACATGTATACTTGGTGTTATGTTCCTGTTCATATTTTTTTAAACTTAAAAGTTGACAGACAACCTTTATTACCAATAATACGTAATGTACTTTACAATGTTCCTGACATATAGTTCAGCTTCTTGGATTTTTTTTTTCATCTGGCCTTCAGATATGAAAGGCAGAGTGATTTAACACCTGTTTAGATTTGTCATCCATGTGACGAAATGAAAAGTATGCCGTTTGCAATAAACTTTGCATAAAATAGTTAATTTGCATTTAATTTTAATGGTTCAAAGAATGTCAGGCAAAATGGTCGGCCCTCACGCATGTTCACTTAATCAAATCTGGCCCTCTTTGAAAAAAGTTTGGACACCCCTGCCTTAAAACATCCAAATAACTGGAAAATAGCTAGTGTGATGCCAATCTTTAAAAAGGTCTCGAGAGGTGATCCTGGCAATGGCAGACTGGTAAGTCCAATATCAGTACCGGGCACATTAATTGAAACTATCATAAAGAATAGAATTGTCAGAGACAGAATTAACATAGTTTGTTGGAAAAAAGTAAACATGGTCTCTGTAAAGGGAAATCATGCCTTAGAAATCTATTAGAGTTCTTTGAGGGTGTAAACACGCCTATAGACAAGAGAGATCCAGTGGATATATTTCTAGAAAGCCTTTGACAAGGTCCCTCACCTAAGGCTCTTAATTGGGGTTGTTTAGTTTGGACTGAGAGGGGACATGATAGTAGTTTTCAGGTATCCAAAAGGGTATCACAGGGAAGAGGGGAAAAAATTGTTCTCCTTGGCAATGATAGGACAAGAAGCAATGGCTTAAGCTGCAGCAAAGGTGGTTTAGGTTGGACACTAGGAAAAAATTCCTAACTGTCAGGGTGGTTAAACAGTGGAATAAATTGCCTAGGAAGGTTGTGGAATCTCCATCACTGAGCTATTTAAGAGCAGGTTAGACAGACATATATCAGGAATGATATAGACCGTGCTTGGTCCTGACACGAGGGCCGGAGCTGGACTTCATGATCTGTCGAGGTCCCTTCCAGTTCTAGTGTTCTATGATTCTATGAGATGTAAATTAAGTTGTCATGAGATAAGAGGGGAAGTTGAATCTTATTCAACATATTCATAAATGATCTGAAAAAAGTGGTAAACAGTGAAGTGGCAAAATTTGCATATTATACTAGACTGTTCAAGACAGTTAAGATCAATGCATTTTAATGTTGATAAATGCAAAGTAATGCATGTTGCAAAACATAATCCCAACTGTACATATAAAATGATGAGCACCAAAATAGCTTTTACCACTCAAGAGAGAGATCTTGGAGTCATTGTTTACAGTTTTCTGAAAACATACACTCAATGAGCAGTAGCAGTCAAAAAAGGAAACAGAATGTTTGGAATCATTAAAAAGGGATAGAAACTAAGACAGAGAATATTTTTTTGCCTCTTTATAAATCATCCACATCTTGAATACTGCATACAGATGTGGTCACCTCATCTCAAAAGAAGATAGTTTAACATTGAAAAATGTGTAGAAAAGGACAGCAAAAATAATTAGCTGTTTGGAACGGCTGCCATTTGAAGAGAAATTAAAAAGACAAAGTCTTTTCAGTTTAAAAAAGAAGCAACAAAGATGAGATATAATAGAGGTCTGTAAAATCATGACTGTTGTGGAGAAAGTGAATAAGGAAAAGTAATTTACTTGTCTCCATAACATATGAACTAGGGGCTCAGAAAATGAGATGAATAGGTAGCAGGTTTTAAACAAAGCAAAAGAAGTATTTCTTCATGCAACTGACAATCAACCTGTGGAACTCTTTGCAATAGGATATTGTGAAGGCCAGGTGTTTAATAGTGTTAAAAAAAGAGCTAGATGAATAAATAGAGAATAGGTCCAACAATGGCTATTTGCTAGGATGGGAAGGAATGGTGTCCCTAGCCTCTGCTAGGAATTGGCAATAGGTCTGATCACTTAATGATTGCCTGTTCTGTTCTTTCTTCTGGTGGCACCTAGCATTGGCCACTGTCAGAAAACAGGATACGGGGCTAGATGGACCTTTAGTCTGACCCACTATGACCATTCTTACATTCTCATGACCTATCACATCATGTTTGCTTGTGGAGTACATTACCCCATAAATGTGAATGGGGGATAAATAGTTTCTTTTTAAGCATCTTAATAATCAGAAAAAGATTTTTAGTATTCAGCCCAGGATCTTGATTAGGCGGAACCCACAAAAGTGACTTTTATGCCTTATTCCAATTGACTGATCTTGTGATTGCCAGTCTGGTCCCTATGTGCAACATAGAGTTGACTCAAAGTTGTCTCAGCTACCAATAGCCTTAATCTGTTTCAGTAGCTAGGGATGTCCCAGCTATGCCTCTTATTTCTGGACATGTTGCATATACCAACATGCATATGAGGAGTGGGGGTGCATTAAAGCTGAACTAACTCAAACCTCTCTGGGTATTACTTGAACAGAAAAGGCCTATGTGGTTAATCTCTCTTTTTCATGCCTAAATAATACAAAGCAGGTATATCTTAGCTTATAATCTATGGATTGAGTTAAAATAAGTGTTTCACGTGAAACTTTGCATGAGGGTAGTTTCAGACTGAAGACTTAATTCCAAAAGTTTTGTGACTTTGTGATTGATGAAGGACTGTGTGAAAGGGTGGACTAGACCTGAAGTCCCCTGCTGGAGGATGGAGGCCTTGCTGCACCCTGCCCAAGAGAGAAGAGCAGAAGCTAGGTCCTCCTGGCAAACAGGAGTGGCTGCTTCTGCTGCAACCATTCAGAGCTCAGCAAGCTGATATAAAAGAAGCTACTGAGCTAGGATCTGGTAGTTACTTGCTGGAGCTCAACCCAGTCAGACCTAGGGATTGACTGGGAAGACAGCAGCAACTTGGAAAGCTCTGAGTGTGCGCTGGACTTCAGACCTGTTTGAAACCCAGGTCCAGTGGCTGAAGATGGGCTGTGATAGACTACAATAGACTGTAGAACCCTAGACAGGGTGTGATAAGAATTTGACCTCAAAAACCTGTGAGGGTTTGTTTACACTAGCTCGTTAGTTTGAGCTAGGTAGGGTAATTAGGGCAACCTGAGTTGCAAATGAAACCTTGAGGACTGAGGGGTAATGGTAGTTCAAATTATGATCTCTAATTCTAACGACCTACTCCATGCCGCGTGTAGCCGCGGGCATGGAGTTCGGACTAAGGGGGATTTAAAAATGGCGGCACCCAGGAAGATGCAAATGAAGTACAGGATATTTAAATCCCAGCTTCATTTGCAACTCCACTTGCCCTAATTACCCTACCTAGCTCAAACTAATGAGCTAGTGTAGACATACCCAGAGAGAGGGAGGAATGGAGCAGTTTCTTGGGGAAGTGGCCCAGGGAGTGAGGTAGCATCAGACAGCAGTGACAGTTAATGTGCAAGTTATACTTTCATGGTCCCTGGTCTGAGACCCTGAGGAGCAGGTGGGCCTGGGTCTCCCCCTAACCTCGAACAGCTACAAAAAGGGGGATAAGAAGAAGCTTGGTCCCAGGTGAGCAACCAGAAGAGCCAGCTAGGACACCTCCATTTCCAGAGCCAGACAGGGTGGAGGAGTTTCAGACACACCCTCGGTCATAAAGGGGTGCCTGTGAGAGAGTGAGCCTGTTCACAGGCTACTATATAATCCAAGAATAGTAATTATGTAATCATGGTATAGGTTGAACCTCTGTGGTCTGGCAGGAAAATGGATGTTGCTGGACTAGAAGGCCCCAGGGGCAGAGGTTGCCAGCCAACACAGAGCAGAACTGGCTGGTAGGTCAGTGGGGCAGCAGAGCCTGCAGCCAGTGGGATAGGAAAGCCAGTGGGGCCTCCAGAAGCTACAGCAGGGCAGCAGATCTCTCAGTTGGCATGGATACCAGGATTTGTGATGGGGCTGCCATGAGGCCGGCCTGCCAAGAGTTCTGGAAGGGCTGCTGCAGCATGTGAGGCAAGAGACTATGAGAGGAACCCAGAAGATATTTAGATCTTCCCCCTGTCTCCCCCACCCTTTACTGACTTCCTATGATACTGGAAACTCCCTTCTCCAGAGAAAGTCTGAAGAAGTTTGTTCTTCCCCAGATCAGATCTAGAGAATGGTAAACCCTAGGGAGAGACAGATATGTGTACTATTTTAAGGTATATTTTCTGTTAAATACTTTGGCTCTAGATGAAGAATAATCTGCTATAAAAAGACTGACTAGACCAGGTATGGCCAACCTGAGCCTGAGAAGGAGCCACAGTTTACCAATGCACATTGCCAAAGAGCTGCAGTAATTTGTCAGCAGTCCCCATCAGGTGGCTCCTCTCCCATCTCCAGTACATTTTTCCCACCAGCATCCCCATGATCAGTGCCTCCTCTTCCTTTCCTGTACCTCCTGCCTGCTGCAATCAGCTGTTTCACAGGAGGTTCTGTGAGGGAGGGAAGGAGCAAGGGTGCAAAAGACTTGAGGAAGAAGTGGAGCCAGGAGCACTGGGAAGTTAGCACCTGTAGCTGCAACCCCAGAATCATTGCCTGAACAAGAAGCTGTATACTAACTTCAGAAGAGCTACAGGTGGCTCCAGAGCCACAGGTTGGCCACCCCTGGACTAGTCGCTGGTTACCACAATCATTGCTTCTGGAGGGAACAGAATGGTACTGAATAGAAGGAAGAACGGTTGAGGTGATTATGGTTGATTATGGGTAGGGCCTTACCAAATTCACAGTCCATTTTTGTCAATTTAAAAATCATAAGATTTTAAAAATAATTTCATGTGTTCATCTATTTAAATCTGAAAATTCATGGCACTGTAATTACAGATGTCCTAACCCAAAAAGGAGTGTGTGGGTGGAGAGGGGAAGGTTCAATACTGCTACCCTTACCTATGTGCCGTTGCTGGTGGACATGATGCCTTCAGAGCTGGGCAACTGGAAAGTGAAAGCTGTTCAGCTGGGCTGCTGGAGGGGAGGAGCCAGGAAACCCAACACACGACTTGGGCTGCCCAGGAATAGGGTTGCCAGGTGTCTGGTATTGACCCGGACAGTCTAGTATTTTTACCTCTTGTCTGGTAAAAAAAATTCAGAAAATACCAGACACCTAAAATGTCCGGTATTTTCTGATTTTTTCCCGGCCAGGAGGCTTACTTGGTTCCACAGGGGAGCTGTCTGAACCGGAACAGGAAGACAAGATGGCGGACAGCCGCCGGCAGCCTGTTAGGGCCAAAAAGCCTCAAAAGCATTTCTTAAAGGGGCCATGCAGGTTTTCTTTGGGTTTTTTTGGGGGGGAGGGTTGCTTAATAACTCTCGGGGTCTCTTTTTTTTCTCAACAACTTTGGTCTCCCCTTTTTTTTCTCAACAGAACAACAGAATTTTTCCCCCAGTGGTTTTTTTTTGGAGGGGGTGCGGTGTTTGGTATTTTTGATTAAACCATCTGGCAACCCTACCCAGGAAGGCAGGGCACCCAGTGTGGCAGCAGGGGGGTAGGGTGGTCCAAGCTGTAGCATATTTCCCTTCTCATTTGCACTACTGTAAATCTGGAACAGATTCACTGAAGTCAATGGAATAAAACTGATCTGAGGAAAAATCAGGCCCTGAATGTCCAGATGTAATAAGGAACATCCTGCTGCGTATTTGTATGTAGACTTATGACATTACACAGGGTACATCTGGACTGCTGAATAGCTGTGTCTCCTCAATTCTCCAACCTGGGATATCTTTTACACTGATTTACTAATGAACAACCACTCCTGGCCAGTTAACACGCAGCCTCTATCATGTAACTTGTAGAAGAACACAAGCAAATTCTCTATCCTAAACTTTCCTTCAGAAATCTGTGTCCTGTATTGTCCAGCATACTAGTGAACAGGGCAAGTTCATATAAAGCCCAGCATCTCATCACAGGAAAATGATACACACCAGTATTGCTATCCCAAAAAGAGTTTCCTACACATTTAATTCAAAACACACGTTAATATTAAACAATAATATAAGTTGATTAACTACCAGGAAAAAAAATAAATACATTAAGTGCCTAAGGAAAGAGGCATAACTCTCAGGATTGGTTACACAAGAAATAAATGTTGAAATGCAACTGAGATCGAACTGAACAAACTAAAATGAATTCAAAGCAAGTGTCTTTCTTACCAGGTGCTTTGTTGTGCACTGGCTGAATTTCTTTTCAGGCAGGATTACCTCCCCCACAACACACAAAGTTCAGTTCTTTAGGGATTGTCGATATCATAAGCAGAGATGAAGGAGGAGAGTGATGTCAAACATTTTTCTCCCCTCTTTAAAATTCAAATTCTTGTACTATGACCATTCTTGCTCAGTCAAGTTGAAAATCAGTCTTTTACAGATGCGAGCTTTAGGATGTGATCTATGCGATGGAATGTAAATTTCTTGTCTGTATTTTCTCCCCTGTTGGATAATGTTCAGTTAACTAAGGTATAGCCTTGTTGTCTCTGCAAAATTGTTTCTGCCCTGCTTTTCTGTCTCTGGAGCATGTTACAGCAATATTATAGAGCTGAATCTTATAATTTTACATACAACATTGATATACACATTTTACCAGGAAGAAATGTTCAGCAGATTGAGTTTTCATATGATACTCACAAAGCATTCTTTGTGCAAAATATATCATCACCTTCCAACAGAGTGATCATAGAGGTATAGGTTGTTGTAAGACTGCTGGGAAAATTTTAAGGCATCATTGTATTACAAAAAATGCCAGACAGACATAAAAAGGGAAAAGATTGCCAATATAAATGAAATTCCTCTTCCTCCATAAATTCTTTTTATGTCCATGAATCATCTCTGAAGCTATCTAAAGAACTGGACGCAATGATCTTCACAGGAAGACAGAGTCAACAGTTTACTCCTATGTTCACAGCATTAGTTGGAAAAAGTAAATGACATCAGTGAGACAACTGACCTTTCTGTTGAATATCTCTACATGCCTCCAGGCCAAGATTTACAACTATTTGCAGCTTTGAGGGGTGCAAATGGCAGAAAATCACTATAGATTAATCCAGCTTTTTGAAATATTCTTTTTAAAAAAATATATCAACATTTCTAAATATTGGATGTTCATGCAGAATACCTATTTTTAAATGTGTTACCTTTAAGATATAAATTGAATTAGGAAGTGTCTTTTGCTTGTGTAATAAAAAATAGTAAAGGATAAAAAGTTTTAAAATATTGTGGAATTATTGGTCTTTTCTATTGCTAAAACAACGATTTCCACTATTAACATGTTATTCATATGTTGCAGTAGACTATTTTTAAAGACATTGCAACTAGTCACTGACCAAAATCTTGGCTTGTTTATGTAGTTGTGTTAGTACAGATGGCTAGTCCAAGTACCCTCTTTGCATTGTCCTTGTTTGCCCTTGCAGAGGTATGGCAAGAGACATGAAGAGAACTTCTGTCCTTCACTCCTTTAATTTTCTACCTAGTGCACCTGTGAATTAGGTCAGGAATTCTCCCTTTATTTGGAAATTATATAATATAACATAAATAATCTATGACTATGCTATAAATGGTGAAAATTAAAGACAAATATGTAACTGTTTTAAAAGAATATGGTTCAATTTTATTTAATTTTAACAGTATTTTATCCATTAAAAGCCTGTGAATCTGTGAACATTATTTTAATGCAGTAAAGTTCTCTTGAGAAGTTTAGACAACCTTTGATGTTTTTTTAATCAGCCATTACTTCAAAATCTAATTGTCTAATTTACAGCTAGGCTATTATGTCCAAGACAATAATTAAAAAATAAGTAACAATGTGACATTTGTCACATGGGAATAAGGTCTCGCTTTAGTTGTGAGACTTAAAACATAATGACATATCTACTGCTTGAGAGAGGCTTTCTCTGACAGAATGTTTCCATGCATTAAATAATATTTTGATCATGAATCATTTAGAGGTCTCTTGAGAGCCAAATGAAAGGTATTGTCTATTTAAAAGTGTTGTATTGTGATATATTTTTCTCTGTCTAGACTATAGAGTTTTGTTGGAAAAACAGCCATTTTTTGGTCAAATCTTGAGTTACGTCCACACTGTAAGCACATCTTTCGACAGTAAACTGAAAGAACAGAAGGCTTTTTATGTAATTGGTAATCCTCATTCTATGAAGGAGAAGCCTTTTGTGAAAGAGCTTTTTCGCAAAAAGACGTGTGTGGACAGGGAAAAGGGAGGCTTTTTTGGAAGAAGAGGAAAGAGGAAAAAGCACCGGTGCCCTGGTGGCCATTCTGTCCATAGCAATCACTGCTTACATGCGAGATAGCGTCTAGGCAATCTGAATGCTATCTTTCAAAAATGTGCATTGCTTTTTCAATGCGTGTTTGCAATGTGGACGCTCTCTTGCGCAAGAAGTTTTTTTGGAAGATCCCTTCTGAAAAAAGCTTCTTGTACAAGAAGCCTGTAGTCTAGACGTAACCTTATTGTCATTAAAAGCCTGATTGAATAAGTATGTGAGTGTATTAGATACAGATGTGGTTACTGGTACAAAATATAATCCTCATGAAAGGAGTGTGATCATCTCCCAAGGCTGTTCCTGTCCCCTCTAGCATCTATACACTTGGGAAAATATCAGTCAAGGACTGTTATTATGGTTTACTACAGCATGTAGGACTTTTATGTTTAGATTCCCCCCAAACATTTTCTGATTCTATTATTGTCTTTAAATGTCCAAGCCTGACAAAGGTCCCAAAATCACATTATTTAAGATGATGTTTGAATGAATGTTTAAATATCTTGTCTTAAAGAAATAGGAGAGAAAGAGAGAGAGAGAGAGAGAGAGAGAGAGAGAGAGAGAGAGAAATGATAAGTATCTTAGTTTTATGCATATTATGTTCTCAGACAAACCAGCCATAGATGATGATTGTGCCATTTCAACCAGAAAGGACATTGTCTCAACAACTTGATTACCTGCATCCTGCTTCAAAGGCCTTGAAAGAGAATCCTCTGAACTGTCATTCATGCTCAAATTTGACACTTTACACTTAAGTTTGAATAAAGACTCTAATTATCTTACCCATTACAAAGATAGCTTCCCCAATTATCACCTCTAATATCATTAGCTCACAGAAATTTACCTCCCCCACATCCCCCTTCTGTTCTGAAATTTGATTTGTCCTTTTTATGTGTGTTCATTTTTAAAAATTGTATCCTTTGGTATACATGGTTGTGACCATTTTCTTCCACTATTTGATCTGAGGAAGTGGGTCTGGCCCATGAAAGCTCATCACCTTTTTTTTAATTGTATCCTTTGGTATATATGGTTGTGACAATTTTCTTCCACTATTTGATCTGAGGAAGTGGGTCTGGCCCATGAAAGCTCATCACCTAATAAACCATCTTGTTAGTCTTTAAAGTGCTACATAGTCCTGTTTTTTATTTCAGCCATATATGGTAACAATTAGGCAATTAAATTTCTATAAGAAAAGTGTCCTAAATAAGCAGTTTGTTTCCACTAGATTTCAGTATCTTTTCTCATATTTAATAGTACTATACAGGTATTAGTAATTCCACTGAAATCTAAATGGGTATGCATGGAGTTCATATACAGCTTGCTGCAAGTAAAGGTGCCACTATCAGGCTTTTTGGAACATGTTAAGAACACTTCTGATAGTCCAGTTTTTCTCATAAACTGTCTTTGACCCTACGGATTGGTGTTCTTAACAAAAGAGACATAATTTCTGATACTGACATGATATTACTCAATGACAACCACTGTAAACGAATTTGCCTCTTCTGCTTTTGCACTTCTGTGCTTATGCACCACTTGAGTTACATTTTGATGCAAAAACAAATTATAACAGGAAACATTAGCCTATTTGTCAATTTATATCTCTCTATTTACTGATTTTAATAAAATACTGTGACTACTTTGTTCTTATAATAAAACAGTATTTTTAACAAAAAATCTGAGTGTTCATGTAAGCATTTTAGAGAACTAATGGAAATGCAGTAATTTAACTGACACCGATGTGACTTCTTTTGTAGGCTTGTACTCAGTTCTGTGTCTGACTACTTTGCTGCCATGTTTACAAGTGATGTTTGTGAGGCCAAGCAGGAGGAGATCAAAATGGAAGGCATAG